ATCGGGCGTGAATCTTCAACTCCTGGTCCAGGTCGGCTGCATTGCTTTGGTACCGATCAATCAGGTGTTGCTCGTCGTCGATATGTCATTCCAGGATAGACCTTTCTTGATGAAGCGCCCTCAGCTCTACTTCTTTTTGCTGAATTGACCCCTCTAGTTGTGCCTTGCCATTATTCAGGCCTTCTAGTCGGCCAATTGCTTGTTGAATGGATTCTTTGGTTTTGGTCAAGGAAGCCTCCAGACTTATTCGATCTAAGTCAGGCAAGGGTGTCTCAGCTGTCGATATGAGTTGGGATCGGGCGTAAATCTTCAACTCCTGGTCTAGGTCGGCTACATTGCTTTGGTACCGATCAATCAGGCGTTGCTCATCGTCGATATGTCCTTCTAGGACAGACCTTTCTTGATGAAGCGCCCTCAGCTCTACCTCTTTTTGTTGAATTGACCCCTCTAGTTGTGCCTTGGCATTATTCAGGCCTTCTAGTCGGCCAATTGCCTGTTGAATGGATTCTTTGGTTTTGGTCAAGGAAGCCTCCAGACTTATTCAATTTAAGTCAAGCAAGGGTGTCTCAACCGTCAAAAGTTGGCGGAACAGAACTTCATTCCGAAGTTCGGATAGTCGTTCCATCAGTTGGTGAAGAATGGGGGCAGTAGCCAACTCTGAAGACATTTGGAACAAGAGACCACCAATGGCTTGGAGAAGGCTGTCAAGCAAGCTGACCCCAGGTCGGGGAAAGATTGGTCAACAGCCTCTGCAATTACAGCTCAGACGTCCGTCGGAATGGGGACAGCCGATAAGAGGGCTAGATCAGAATATCCCTGAAATGAAAGATGTTTATCTCAAACCTAATGGAGAATAAATGTTAAGACTCAATTGTGAAAGATTGTATGTACCTCTTGACGGATGGTGGTCGTGGAAAGTGCCAAAATAGCCATAAGTCTGGAGGGTTGGGTGGCTGGTACCTCGATAGCTGATTCGCCGGCTGCTTCGAGTGGATGTTGAGGTATGGATCTGGGTCCTTGAATGGTGGAAATATAGTGTGTCAAAGGTCATGTTAATACTAGCTTGTATTTTGGTACTTTAGAAGAAGGGATCTCAAGGGTTTACCAGATTGACAGAGGTCTCGATTCAGAAAAGGGAATCTCTTCTAACTCCTGTAAGAGTCCCCTTGGTTGAGCAGATGAAGGTTCTCCGTCATGTCTGTCCGCCGCTAGTAGAGGGTCGGCTGCCCCTGGGTCGGCAACCTCCAAGTCAGCTACCCTTGGGTCGGCAACCTCCAAATCGGCTGCTCCTGGGTCGGCAACCTCCAAGTCGGCTGCCCTTGGGTCGGCAACCGCCAAGTCGGCTGCTCTTTGGTTTGATGTGTCTGGGGCGTTTGCATCAGAGGCAGTAGAAGTAGACATAGGTGTGACCACCGGTGCCATAGTAGGCAGAGAGGGGTCTGAAGCAACATAAGGTAACCTGCCCATCTCTGAAGCAGTTGCCTCACTGGGAGATGAGACCCTTGTTGTTGCCTGTTCGGCGGATGAAGGTATTTTATTTGAGGCCCGGCACTTGGTCGGGGGCTCAGGTTCTGGTAGTTGATTGGTTGGTGGCTTCGCTGTTTTAGTTGGTCTGGAAGCAGGTTGGGCGGTCGCCCGAGCCGAAGCCACACCTGAGTATAAAAAATTAATACCATGGTAAGGAAAGGATCAAGTAAATTGAGAGTAGGAGATTATACCTGGACGGGGTCGGGTCCTCATAGGGGGCCGACCTGATGGCGGTTTGTTAAGGACGGTTGATTGCCCTCAGAAGGGGGAATAATTTGAGTCTGAGAGGCTCTTCTCTTCCTCTGTACCCGACTCAGTGCCTTGAGTAATCAAGTTCCTTCGGGTGTTGGTCAGAGGGGTCGCCCCTAATGTTATTGCAAGTGGGGGAAGAAGGATGCCCAGCAAACAATCCTTGTCAGGGGAAATCAAGGCCCAAGTAACCGACCACCACTCGCGAAAGGATTCAACTGAAGTTGGAGAAGATTTGTAAGGAATGTAAGAGTTGGAAGTGATGTAATTTGTGAGTTGGGATATGTATGGGGCGATTGCTTCAGGAATAGCTCTCCCATCTGGATTTTGAATTATTAAATGGGGATGAGCAATGGGACCAGGCAGGCCTTGTTGGCAGCCGAATTGGCGTGCCACAAATTAAGGCTGATAGTTGAAGGTATAAAATATTTTGGAACCTTTTTTATCGATTTTCTTGCTAGCAAATAAGGACCTGTGCTTAAGAGTAACATCCCAGGAGAAGGGGTAAGTCGGATGTGGAAGTGGATTTGATTGAGACAAAGGTGATGGAACAGGGAATGGTCAAAACAATCCGGATGCATAACCAATATACCTTTTGTGTGGATAAAAATGGCTATCATTTCGATTATCAGTAAGGATGGAAGTTATGATTGGATCAGACGCTTGGAGGGTATTATGGCCTAAACAAAGTCGGTTTAAGGCTACTCCTAGAGACTTCTCGAGTGTGGGGGCAATGGGAGGATGGCCGAGTTGGAAGGCGTCGGGAAAATAGAGACGGAACCATAGTTCCAGGAACCAAAAAGGACCCGACGCAGCAGTGTCTAATTTTTTACCATCTTTATCAGTAAGTCGGGCACTGACCCTAGATAGCCCTTCAAAGAGATTGGCAAGGAAAAATGTGCCTAATGAAAAGAACCGACCCGAGGCTATGTGTATAGCAAGATCAAGATGTGAAGGGAGGACACATTTCGAAGGGGAAACTACTACATACTTACAGAGCCAAAAGAGCAGGAAGGTTGTGTGTTCTCGGTCGGTTACAGGGTTCCCATCTGCTCCTTGTTGGTTGATTAGAAATTTAGTCCAGCCCCATTCTTTCACGTCTGTCAGAGACCAGCCCAAATGGTCTGAGTTGGGCTCTTGCCCATCTAGGGCACCCATTACAGGGTCTTCCCCAACGATTGGCAGGTGCGCGATCATGGCCATATCCATGAGGGTGGGGCCGATAGGGGCTGTTGGAAGAAGAAAGGTACAAACCTCAGGGTGCCAGAACGCCGCCATGGCCAGGAAAACTTTCTCATGTAAATGACAAGGGAGAGTTGACAGACGTATGGCTTGATCGATTGGTTGGGTTTTCCATTGACCCTGGTAATGTTCTGCTACTCTTTGGTACCAGGTGCGGTATGGATCCTTGGGGTCCGTCAAGTGCGTTTTGACGTTGTCATGGAGGCGGGTTGCGTTGTAGTTGGGGTTGTTGATTGCCAGTAGATTTTTTGCCTCAAAGACTTCTCTCATACGGTTGGAGTCTTCAGCAGTTGTGCAATATGGACGAACAGTTGGCGTGCGCATTTTCGTCGACACGAGACTGGTTTCAGGGATTGATCCGTCAACAGGGAGTGCAAGGATGTATCGATTCGCCATGGACAAAGTTGTAGAGATTGTGATTCACAAAAGGGTCGTATTAAAGAAAGAAAAGTTTTGTGGAATCAGGAGTGTTGCAGTAACTGATGCAGTTGCCAAGTTGATTTCTCAGTAGGGTTGTGATTTGTGAACTTCCAAACGAAGATTGAGAAATGGCATTTGAAAGTCCCTTGGCGGCGGGCAAGTTGTAACGTATGAAATTTAGAATTAGGTTAAAAAGCCCAAGGTAAAGAGAAAAATGGGAACTGGCCGAGGGGCACCGCGGGAAACTCAGGAAAAATAGATATATTTTTAAGGAAATAGTGGGTCGGAAGGTCCGTAGGTCGGAAGGCCCTCAGGTCGGGAGGTCCGCAGGTTGGAAGGTCTTCAGGACGAAAAGTCCGCAGGTCGGAGGGTCCTCAGGTCGGGAGGTCCGCAGATCGGAAAGCCCTCAGGACGGAAAGTCCGCAGGTCGGAAGGTCCTCAGGTTGGGAGGTCCTCAGGTCGGAAAGTCCTCAGGACGGAAAGTCCGCAGGTCAGGAGGTCCTCAGGACGGAGGTCGGATGATCCTCAGGTCGGGAGGTCCGCAGGTCGGATGGTCTTTAAGTCGGGAGGTCTGCAGCTGAACCAATAAGTCGGATGGTCTTTAAGTCGGGAGGTCTGCGGCTGGACCAATAAGTCAGAAGGTCTTTAAGTCGGGAGGTCTGTTGCTGGACTAACAAGTCGGATAGTCAGTAGGTCGGGAGGTCTGCGGCTGGACCAAAAAAGTCGGGTGGTATGCAAGTCAGGAGGTTGGTAGTCAGACCAATAAGGTGGAAGAGTTGCGTTCGGGCCAAAATAGGGGAAGGTTTGCGGTCGGTCCAAAGAGGCGGATTCTGTTGAGAATAAGTGAGAATGATACTGTGGTCGGTTGAGGGCACGTGTCAGCAGGAGATGGGGTAGCAGACGGTTGAAAAGGAGACGTTGTAACCGTTCGGGCGACGGTTTCCAGTAGCATTTTTCAAGGAGGATTTAAGGATTTGAATTTTTATGAAAAAATCATCTTCAATCAACTTCAACAAAGCAAAGTCAGATTCGGGGATTACCATTTTAATTTCAAGCATTTTAATTTCCAGTTAATTTCTTTATGTACCGGTGCAGTAACAATGTAACTGTAGGTCTATAGCAGTTTAGAGAGCCAACCCATGCACAAAATAAGAGCCATTCTTTTGAAGTGGAAAAAGATTGAGAAAAATGGTTAAGTGACGAAGGAGAATCTGAGAACATGAAAGAAAGAGGTGAAAAAAAAAAAAAAAAAAAAAAAAAAAAAAGGAAAATATTACAGAAAAAATGTGGAATGGAAGGAAAAAAAAAAGAAAAAAAAATGGTTGCATCGAGAAAGAATGAAGAAGATGATATAGGGTGAGTAAATGTAGGCCCCTCGTATTTAATGTAATTGGAATTATTATATATATATTATATTATTAATTAAGTAAATTTTAATTATAATTATTACTAGTCAGTGTTTGATTTGACAGCAATGTATTATTTATAAAAACATAATAATATATAACAAAATTAATTATAAATAATATATTTTAAATCTAAATCAAAAAATAAACCTTTCTCTCACTCTACATCATTTTTTATCTTCTTCTTTCATGGTTTTATTTCTTCTTTCTGTTTCAGTTTTCCCCCTTCTCATTCTTCGACAGTTCTAGTCAATTTGTGAATTTTCTTTTCGTTTATAGAACAGAATCACGTTCCTATCTACTTCTACCGTTAATTCTTACCGACCTCCGTCCAGGCCAACAAAGTAAATAGAAGAAAAGTATCAGGTACCTAAATATATCATTCTAATTTCTAACTAAATGTTTTAATTTTGTAGATCACGATATTCAATCTCCATCCTACAACCACAGAACAACGGTTGTTGAGTACGTCGTTGCCTGTTAGTGCTGCTATAGGTATATTTTTTTATTTTTTTATTTTTAGGGTTTTTTTTCACAAGAATATATTTTTATTTTTTATGCCTTTATTTATTTTTTTAATGGGAAATTATTATGTTTTATGTTAGGCCAATATGAAAAGATATTTTCTTCCAAAAAATTTTAATACCAAACCAAAGGATGTGTCTTCTGGTTCTAATAAGCCAAATACTAGTATTAATGCTAGTGATATTACGAAAAGGCCTCACGCAGAATTAAATGAAGACAATGATGTTATTGGTGATCCTGGTATTCGAAAGCCAATTGAGAGTTACCCAGTGGAAGTTAAGGATGAATTAAGGCGGATATTTGGCTAATGATCCCTGTCAACCATTAGGACATAATTTTGCGCGAAGTCAATATGGTGATGTTAAAAAAAAGTTTCAACAAGCATGGTTCAAAAATTTTATTTGGTTAGAATATAGCGTGTCAAAAGATGTTGCATTTTGCCTTTGGTGTTATTTATTTGGTGAAGGTCATAAATATGGAGAGGATGCATTCACCAAAGTTGGATTTAGAAATTGGAAAAAGGCTATTCAAAAATTCAAAGAGCACGAAGGTGGTGGAAATAGTTCACATACTTATGCTAGAACTAAATATTTTGGATACAAAGATCAAAAGCATAATGTCAATTATGTGTTTGCGCAAAAAATTGGTGAAATAGAGATTGCTTATTGCACACACACGGTTGACTGTTGTTGTTGATATAATTAGATATCTTTTGGGACAAGGCCTTGCTTTTCGAGGACATGATGAGTCGGCACAGTCCGTACATCGGGTTAACTTTATTGAACTCTTCACTTGGTATTGTGAGCGAAATGAAGAAGTAAACAGCGTAATGAATGCAAATGCTCCTGCCAATAATCAACTGATGTCTCCAAATATTCAGAAACAGATTATCAATGCATATGCTACGGAGGTAAGAAATGTGATTATGAATGAAATTGGAGATAGATATTTTTCTCTTTTAATTGATGAGGCACAGGATAGTTATATAAAAGAACAAATGTCAATAATTTTGAGATTTGTGAATGATAGGGGGAAAGTGATTTGAACGATTTCTCGGTGTGATACATGTTAGTGATACTTGTTCACTATCATTGAAAAATGCTATTGATGAGTTTTTTGCAAGAAATGGATTATCATTTTCAAGACTAAGGGGTCAAGGCTATGATGGTGCATCTAATATGCGGGGCGAGTTCAATGGACTCAAGGCACTCATTTTAAAGGAAAATAGACATGCACACTATATTCATTGTTTTTCTCACCAACTTCAATTAGTTGTTGTTGTTGCTAGCGTGGGTAAAAATGGGTATGTGCTAAATTTCTTTGAGTATTTTTCTATGATTGTGAGTGTTGTTGGAGCTTCATGTAAGAGGGGAGATAATTTAAGACAACAACACGATACGCTTGTCAAACGTATAGATGAGGGTAGTGTCTTGACGGGGAAAGGAAAAAAACAAGAAATGGCCCTAGCTCGAGCTGGTGATACACGTTGGGGTTCTCACTTCAAGACAATTCTTTGACTTTTTCAGTTGTGGGATGTAGTGAAAGAAGTGATTCAAGCAGTATTTGAGGATGGTGATGATCCAAAGAGTCGATCCGTTGCGGTTAGTTTGATTGATAAGATGGAGAGTTTTGAATTTATATTCATTGGCCATATGATGATGTGTTTATCGGGAATGACAAATATTTTGTCACAAACTTTACAACAGAAGAATCAAAATATATCTCTTGTTGTGCGATTGATACAATTATTGAAAGATGAACTTGGAGAATTTAGGAATAATGGTTGGGAGGAGTTGTTGAAAGAAGTAACCGAGTTTTGTTTTAGAAATGAGTTTTGTGTCAAATATGGAAGATGTTATACCAAGCCGGGCAAGAAGAACATTGGGTGGGAAATGGAAGACTTATATCCACTATTTCCGTGTAGACATATTTCTACAGGTAATTAAACTCAATTTATTTTATAACAATATGCAATTGTTATTTCATATTATTCATTTTTATTTTTTTAAAATTATAGGTTGTTGATATTATTTCTCAAGAAATGAATGCCCGGTTTTCTAAGTTGAATTCTAAACTTATTATGTGCATAGCATGTCTTGATCCTAGCAATTCGTTTGCTAGCTTTGATCTTGAAAGGATATTCCACATGGCTGAGTTGTACTCATAAGATTTTACCGAAGAGAATATGATGGAATTGAGATCACAACTTCGATCATATATTCATTATGTGCGACGAGAACCATATTTCTCTAATTTTTCTGATGTTGAAGGTCTTGTGAAGAGGATGGTCGAGTTCAAAGCTGATATTGTTTTTTATCTAATATATCGACTTATAGTATTAGCATTGGTCTTGTCCGTCACAACTGCAACAATCGAAAGATCATTTTCTGCTATGAAGATTATAAAAACTGATTTGCGTAACACAATGGGAGATAGTGTTCTTACGGATTGTCTAGTGTGTTATATTGAAAAAAATATTTTTGTAAATTGTGAAATCGAAAAGATTTTATAGAGATTTCATAATATGGCGACCCGAAGCTTACAGTTGTCGCATAGAATGTAAAAAATATTTCTAATGCTTTATTTTATTTTTTATTATTTAAATGATGCCCCCGACTCAGGCGCTCTGGCTCCGCCCCTGAATGTTGCGACAAATACTATTTCATTGTGGCAAAACGCCGTGACAATGAATATTCATATTGTTGCAAAAATTTGCGACAAGTAATATATATATATTGCTACAAAAATTTGCGACAATTAATAATTATGCGATAATAAATATATATTGTTGCAAAATTTTACGACAATTAATAATTACTTTGTTGAAAAAAGATGCGACGATGAATATATTTATAAATTAGCATGAAAAATCCGATGCGGTACTACTTCCGTAACAAATAATAAATTGTTGCAGAAATAAATACATTCCGCAACAATTTCAACCGCAACAAATGACTTTTTTCTAGTAGTGATATATTTATAAATTACAAATATACAATTACACGTAAATATAAAGTATAAAAAACAAAAATATATATATACTACAATCGTCCATCGCCAATCTATCCATTTGCATTTGGTATCATTGTTTTTAGTATTAAAAATATCTTAATATTTATATATTTTTTTTATACAAATATCATTACAAAGTATTTTATCATTTTTTTCCTTGATTTGTACTTATTTTTTATATAATAATTAATATTTAAATTTTAATATGCAAAAAGTAAACAGATAGATCAGCGGTGGACAGAGGTAATACTATTATTTATTAATTATTATAAAATCCCAAAAAGATAGATGAGAGAGTAATAATATAAAATTATATATTATAAATAAATTATATATAAAGTTAAACAATTAAGACAATGGAAGGAGTACATACACCACAAATTGAACTGATCCAAGATAAATAATAGATTAAATGGATTAATAATAATTGTCTTTCCTTTATATTATCCATGCTAATCAAACTAAAAATATTAGGTTCATAATATCAAATGATGTTCAAATTTAAATAAACAAGAAACAAAAAGAATCACGGACCAAACATGAACAATAATTCTTATGATTTATTTTATTGAGAAGCCAAAGTGCCCAACAACACTACCCTCGTACATACATTTGCTTTCATCGACATCAATCTACTCACTCATCTATACAAATACAATCAATCAATCAACCATCTTCCATTTCATCACCAAACAGAAAAAATTTAGACACATTCGCCGCAAAATGGCCATCGCATCGCAACGACAACAAATGGATCCATCGTTCCAAGAATACATTAGAAGCACAACCAAGATCCCGGCAACATCACGACCTGTGAAGCGCGCGGGACGACACCCCGTGAAGAAGCTTTACAAACCCCAAAAAGCTGAGCTTCCCGTCCGAATGCCTTATCCAGTCCTGCAGAACTACGTGGACAGGCACAGATGGGCTCAGCCCAAGTTCCTGCTCAATAATCACCACATAAGTGTCGAGAATTCCCTACATCCATGTAATAATCAAGTATTCGAATAAAAAGTTTAACATTCGCTGAGGATGTCCTAGAGATAGGACAGCTATGCTATGTTCTTATAAGTTGAAAGATTAAGCTGGTGTACAAATACGGGGAATAACAATCAACACATTGCTTATTAGTCCATTCAGCATATGAAAATACACTCAACAAACACATAAAAATACATCATGCGGCGGCATATGTTGTCTGTTCTAATTTATATGTGTACCGAGATTAATTGTAGTGTGTGCTACAGTGATTAACTTTCCGTGTATGTACTGTATTTGTATTATATTCACTTTACATCTAATCTTTTGCTTGCATATATGTATATATATCTCTATATCTATAATGACCATGGATTCAATGTTTTCTTTTTTTTTTTTGGCAAGATGTCGATTTAACAAGAAAATTGTAAGGGGAGATGTATCTAGAGAGAGAGAGAGAGAGGGAGGTACCGAGGCGAGCTCCTGAATCATGATTGGGCGGTTGCCATCCTTGTCGAAAAATTCATAAGCGAAGCGCGCGTGCTGTTCCCAGCTCTCCATTCCTTCGAGTTGATACACGCTTATTGTCGCCGCGCAGAATTCTTCGAAATCCACTTTTCTGTAATGCAGCGAACTCACCTGCATTCCACGCCACAAACATTTTGCAATTTTCATCAAAACCAAAAACTGCTTTACTCAAACATATGAAACAATTTCTTAGAAAGGGTCCGACAGGTCTCACCACATTCACATAATCCATAACCCGTGAATCCTTCACAGCATCTGTCGAAAACTTTGCCATAGCCTGAAGGCAGGGGAATTAGATCCACCGAGTAGGATAAACACAAAGATGGATGCGCAGAGTAAAAGGCTAACCGATTTGAAGTTTTGTAGGGAGACGAATCCACTTTTATTTGGCCCAAGCATTGTGAACTGTTCTTGGAGATAAGTTAGCTGCGGTACCGTTAGTGTTTTTGCAAGAGCCTGCCAACGACAAGCTGAATTGAGAAACGGCAAAAGCTTCCATTGGGTATTAAAATTAAATTTTGTCAAAATTACGCGGCCAAACGAGAAAATGACACTTGTTGCAAAGCATAAAATTTTGGCTTTCACGACGGTATGAGTTGTCTAGGGACCAAAAAATTACCCCTAAAGCAGCCTTTCTCAATGGCGAAGAACATATATAAGCTTTAAAAAGCCGAAATGTTATCATATCGAGAGGGATTTTCGCATCGTGGTGTCCGGAAAGCCACGGATGACCTGCAAACAATACAACAAAGGATTCTAAACATCATATTAGTACAGTGCTGACAGTATAACATATGTCAATATAATACAAATATAACACAAACAGTAATCAACACAGCAAATAACACACAATATATAAAACAAAACAAGCAACACATATTATTACAATCTATACAGCATGTACTATTTTTATTTACTGATTGAGGCTGATTAGCACCTCAATCGGTACCCTAACCACTCCATACAAGGCTAATTTAAACTAACCTCCTAGAAAATTCAAAAAATCTACGATAGGTGAATAATATTATTGCAACCGACGTAAGATCATTCGTAATTTACTATAATAAAAATCGTAGTTTGATGATTTCAAAAGTCACTTACACAGAGCCTGTGCAGCAGTAAGTCGCTTACGGTAGTCCTTATTCAACAGCTGTTTCACAAAGTCGATTGCATCAGGGGATAAAGAAGGCCACGGTGCTTCATCAAAGCTGGGATCTGCCTTGAGAACAGCTCGGAAGATTCCGGATTCTGTCCTCGCCCAGAATGGTCTGCTCCCACAAAGAAGAATGTAAGCGATCACGCCCACACTCCACATGTCAGCCTCTGTTCCATACGATCTATGCAGAACTTCAGGCGCTACATAATATGCACTTCCAACTATATCATTCAGCCGTTCATCTGCACCAACCATTATTACATACATGATGCCCGATTCCAGCTTTGTAATGGCAAACTGAAAAGGTAGAACTTCATTGGTATTTTAGATATAGATTTGACCTGGCTTAACGTAATCAGAGAGCCCGAAATCGATGGCCTTCAAAGGAGAACGTCCGTCTTTTGATGTAAATAGAAAATTCTGAGAAATATTGCAAAATTATGTTAATGCAAAAATTGGTTAAGACTTGATAGCCCGGAAATGGATCGGGTAGCAGTAGCCGCACCTCGGGCTTTAGGTCTCGGTGAACAACGCCTTGGAGATGACAATATGCGACGACACTCAAGATTTGCACCATGACGATTTTGGCATCTTCTTCCGAGTATTTGCCACCGCTACGACAAATAAATACAAGAAGAATTTTTCAATTTTGAAAGCACGATTAAAAATTTCGATAACAATAAAATAATTCGCCATACCAAGAAAGAATATGATCCAGCAATTCTCCCCCTTTACACAACCTGGGAAAAAACAAAAGAAATTCGACGGCAGAATCAACAAGTATGGTCTTTGGACATTGAATATTTCATGTTTTGAGGTTGAGTTGGCCACTTGGATGATCTTTGTATATTTGTTATAAACTTCATTACATGCCTAAACAAAATTGATTCATGACGGATTTATATGAAACGGCAGAGGTATAAAATTTTATGAAAACAATGGCATAAGTATAAGATTAGCAAGATGTCCAAACTCACTCCATCACTACATAGACATTGTCTTCATCCTCGTAGGCATCGTAGAATTGCACCAAGTTGTTGTGACCGGTGAGAGCACGCAGTATCTTCACCTCTCTTCTCACATCCTCGACGGCAATCGCCGTCGTCATCTGTCCAAATTCCAAAATTCTCATTACAATAAAACAGATGCATGAAGTGATTAGAAACCACAGAATCCCAATTTGCAGTAAACAAAGCCATAAGCAAGCATTAAGAAACAAAGAGGATATATGATCTAATAATGAGACAACCTTAATCTTGGGGATGACTTTGACAGCCACATCGAGGCCTTTCAAGCTTCCCTTCTTACCCTTAGCAGAACAAGTGTAACCAAAATGGCCTCTACCCACCTCAACTCCAAGATCATAGTGGCTGCTGAAATTCTTAAGGAATCCGAACTTCTTATCCAGGCCAATAACCTCACATTCACTTCCTTCAGGTATGGTAGCCTCATTGGGCTTCACAGAGCCATGCCGCCGGGCAAGGAGGGCCTTAATGTGCTTCGCCGGCGACGGCGGCGGGAAGGGCCGCTTCAGGAACCGCAGAGGGGTGGAAGGGACGCTGCCGCCGCTCGGGGAATTCTTGAATGCACTGGGTAAGGGGCTAGGGCTGTAGAAGGGGAATTTGGGAGTTTTTCCAGAATTGAGGATGTGATCCGCGTTTTCGGCCAGGTTTTGTGGGGGTTCTTGGATTGGAGGTTTTCCATGACAGATTCCCATGGAATGGAAGGCGGGGCGAGGAGTTGGGCAAATTTGGAGTTTTTTCTAATTTCCAAGATTTCTGAAATTAAGCGCAGAATTCTGCCTCAATTCTTCAAAATTAGAATTCTCGGCGCGATCAAAAGCGCCGGAAAGAGTGCAGTGCAGGGAGAATAAAAACCGACAGTATCGGAATCAGGCAAGCAACGAAGAAAAACGAACTTGGAGAAGAAAGAGAAAAAAAAAAGAAGAGCAGAGCAAATTGGGGGTTGAGGACAGAAAAAAGGAATTAAAGTGAAGGGAAAAGATGCTTGGCAGAGCGAACGAAGAATAAAAAAAAAACAAAACCCTTCTTCAGCGAATCAAAGCAAAGCTTTTAGAACAATTAATCAATGGAGAAATTGATGACTGGATTGGAGGCGGCTTGATGATATTTGTGGTAGAGTTAAGAGTTTGGATTGAAACATTACAGTACAGGCTGTCCTTATTCGGACATGGCGAGAGAGGGGGATGCAGTTTTGTAGTCTTGTAAAATTGAAAGAGTTCTCTCCTTTGTGTAAACGTGTACTGTGTACTGTACACATACAACTAAGTTAACCAACTCCATTTTTTTAATTATTGGAGTATTTATTTTGGCGGTGTAGTTTGATCTTTGACTGCTTTTTGGCCCTTTAAACTATTCATTCATTATAATTATAATTATATTAATAATAAACAAAAGAATATGTGCAAACAGCTGCCCCTCTTTGGTGTGCAAAATAATACTGCCTCGGTATATGGTTGGTTATGAAGAAAAATAGATAAATATAAAAAAGTAATATGTTTTAACTAAATAGAAAATCAAAATAATTTTTTATAATAATAAAAAATAGACATAAATTTAAATAATAGATAATAGTATTGGAATACGGGTATGCTTGTTTTGTATTTTAGTTTGGAGGTATATTTTTTTAATGTGAAATATAAAAAAATTAGTTTATTATAAAAATTGTGATATTAATTTAATTTTATATTTTAAATAATAAAACTTTATTTTGATAATAAAACTTTATAGGAAGATAAAAAAATAATAATTTATATAAAAAGTAAACTATAAATAAAAAATACTGTAACTAAATGAATCAAAATTTCATAAATATATATTCCAATTTAAACTCAAAAATAAAAGAGATAAAAAATAATTATTCATAATCACTCTTAAATTAAAAAACAAAATAAATTTAAAAGAAGTTTGTTTGAAAACAATATTTAAACAACATACTAAATAACAAACAAAAAGAAAAGCTAACAAATAATATTAAGTAAATTATAAATCAAATAAAACTTATATACCATTTTAAATTCAAATCTAAGTTAAATTTAAAATATTTATTTACAATGTTATTAAATGAAACATTACAATAAATTTTGAAATAAATTCATATCTATCAATAAAATAAAATTAAAAAAAAAAAAAACAAATACACTAACAAAAAACAAAAACAAATACACTAACAAAAGAAAAAATAAATATTGTAGAGTATTAAGTAATAAAAATTATAAATTACAAAATTAATACTTAAAAGTGAACTCAAATATAAATTGGATTAAAATTATTTATTAACAAATCATATTAGATAAAAACAAAAGACTCAAAATTTGAATATAATTTCAATTTTCAACAAAAAAGTACACGTATTAAAATAATAATATTCTAAACCAAATTAATTAGAAAAATACATATAAAATAAGAATAAATAAGAATTGATTAATAAAAAATAACAAAAAACAAAAAACAAATAAAAAAAATACATACAAAATAAAAATTAAAATACTAAAATTAAAATATAGTAATTTTTATAAATTACTAAAATTTATCTTAATTTTTTGTATGAATTTCTCTAATATTCTCGAAATTTAAATATAATCTACAAAATTAGGGAAAAAATATTTTAATATAATATTCAAAACCAAATCAGTTAAATAATAATGAATAAAAAATTAATTAGTAGCAAATAAAAATAACATTGTTACGTACGAAATTTAGAATTAGGTTAAAAGCCCAAGGCAAAAAGAAGAATGGGCCTGGCAATAGAGTTGATTGAACTGGCTGAAGGACACCGTAAGGAAATCAAGGAAAATAGATTTATTTCTAAGGAAAATACAAGACGGAAAGTCCTCAGGTCGGAAGGTCTTCAGGTCGGTAGATCCTCAAGACGGAAAGACCTCAGGTCGGAAGGTCTTCAGGTCGGTAGGTCCTCAAGACGGAAAGACCTCAGGTCGGAAGGTTTTCAGGTCGGGAGGTCCTCAAGACGGAAAGTCATCAGGACGGAAGGACCTCAGGTCGGTAGGTCCTCAAGACGGAAAGACCTCAGGTCGGAAGGTCTTCAGGTCGGAAGGTCCTCAAGGCGGAAAGTCATCAGGACGGGAAGTCCGCAGGTCGGGAGGCCTTCAGGACGGGAAGTCCGCAGGTCGGGAGGCCTCAGGTCGGGTAAACCGTAGATCGGATAGAAGGCGAAGTCGGACAGACGCGGAGGTCTTTGATCAAAGACGGAGGGCGGCTGATGCGGAGGTCGGCCCAAGTGAGGTCGGGCGAAGAAGCAGGTCGGGCGAAGGACGAAGTCGGGCCAAAAGAGCGGAAGGTCTGTGGTCGGCTCAAAGAGTGAAATATAGGGATAATTGTGGTCTGCTGGGGACACGTGTCAGCATGAGAAGGGTTGGAAGACGGTTGGGAAGGAGACGTTGTAACCGTTCGGGTGACGGTTTTCAGTACGGTTTCCCAGAGAATATTTAAAGGTTTGAATCATCATTTGGCAAGGCATCTTCAATCAACTTCAACAAAGCAAAGTCAGATTTGGGGATCACCACTTTAAATTTCAGTCTTTTATTTTCCAGTTTATTTTCTGTACCATACAGTGTTTAGAGATTCCTAATCTCAGGCACTAATTAATCAAGTTTAAGGATATTTTCTATATCTTTGAATTTTACTTTATTTTTGTTGAAAAATTACATCAACAAATTGGCGACCACAGTGGGAGCAAGACACAATTGCTCATTCCAATTCTGGCGATAATTTCATACGTCTTAGATCCGGCCGAATCATCGGAAGGGTCCATATGGCAGGTTCACAACCACAATCATCTTCGGCACCAGTGGGAGAATCCGTTCCACCACCTATTGTGCCAAATGCCGGGGAAATCCCACAACCACCAACTGATTGGTGGTCTTATGTTCAACAAATGAACAACCAGCATACTTTGGTTATGCAGAATATGTTGCGTGAGCAACAAACGAACATGTTGCGTGAGCAACAGAGTCTGATGCAGAACATGATAGATCAAGCACTGTCAAGGGTTAGTCTTCAACCCACTCATACTCCACCAGGAGTATCACCATCCAGACAACAGGCAAATTTCGCAGGGCCATCATTCGTGGATAGTACATTCCCAAGTGCCACAAATCCCAACCGAATGGATAGGGGAAAATCTCCTTTGACTTTTCCCAACAATGTTCCACTGGGACCAAGGGTTACCAATCCGCAGCCGAACAATACAAGGGAGGACAGGCCTGAAGGATATATACATGATCCTATTCATATTCCTGTGCAGGATCCGTTCCATGTTCCTGATCATCAACGCTTTCATGTAGATCCTGATGAGATTGCACATATATTAAGGGATCAGTATGGATTAACTCCTCAGATGGCTAACCGCCCTGCATATCAGAGACCTTTCCCGGAAAGGATCATTAATGAACACCCTCTCCCAAGGAATTTTCGACCACCCGATTTTCATGCATTCTCATGGGAGGACGGATCTTCCACCATAGAACATGTTGGTCGGTTCACAGCACAATTAGGAGAAGTTGGCAATAACCCTTTTTATAAGTTACAGCTGTTTGGTTTATCTCTTACTAGAACGGCGTTTTCGTGGTTTGTAAGTTTGCCTCCTGGACAAATTCAGACATGGGAAGGACTGGAGATGGCATTTCACGCTAGATTCTTCAATCCTTTACCAGTTGTTTCTTTAACTGATTTACTAGAATTGAGACAGTTTCCAGAAGAATCTGCTTCACAGTTTATAGAAAGGGTGCGATTGATGAAGGGACGATGTCCTACGGTAATCAGTGAGAAAGAGATGACCAATTTAGTGGTCCGGAATATGCATACTCGTTTAAGAAAGGCACTCACTGCCCTGGATGTTGAGGATTTGGCAAGTCTTGCATCCAAGGCAGGACGTTTAGAGTCTTTGTTCAGAGAAGAAGATCAGCATAACAGGCGTAATAGAGGCCAACATATGGCGAGTATGGGAACAGAAACATGTGACTTTGATTTTAATCAGTCAGAAGAGATGGCAGCCGAAATCCTTTCTGGAAAACCTTATGTATGCCCTAAATTGAAGCCAGTACCAGGATCTGAAGGAAAGGAGCAACCGACGTTTGATAGTTCGAAAGCTGATGAAATCTTTGATATCTTACTGACTGATGGGCAGATCCGTATTCCAAAGGGGCAAAGACTGGCCACTAAAGAAGAAATCAAAGGGAGACCATATTGTAAGTGGCATAATTCTTTCACACACAATACAAGTCAGTGTACTCATTTCAGGAAGGAAATTCAAAAGGCCATCAAGACAGGTCGGCTCAAATACATCACTCTAGGTGTAGACCAGCAACCGTTTCCGAAAGTAACAACGGCAATGGTTGACATCCAACCAAGTTCGGAAACAGGGAAAATGTCGGCCAATAGTGGACAAACACGGGAACGAACTCAGGCAAGCCTCGGAACAAAGAAAGGAAATCAGCCAAACAGCAGCCGACCGGAAGAACGACTTAAAGTTGTTGAAAGGCCAGTCGCCGAAAAATGGGACCGTCCAGACGGTTCTTTTAATGTGGAGGTGAAAGAAAAGGTTTTAGTGCGTGACCACCCGACCAGAAAAACAGGTTCAGTCGGGAACAATTGGGCTCGAAATAAAAAGCCTTTACCCGTTGATATAGATCCTCGTTTTCCAGGTATGAATCGTACACAGATTCGCAATGCCAAACGTAGGTATGCTGCAAAGTATGGGAAACGAGTTCCTTCAGTAAAACAACGAACCGACGAACAAAAAGCAGCCGACCACTTGGCAGGAGATCAGTCCATTAGAGTCTTTACAGAACAAACGACCAACGAGCAGGGAGCAGCCTTTCAGTCTCCAAAAAGTCGGTCCAGTCGGGTCTGGTCAAGAAAGCAACCGAACGACGGATTAGGCGCTTCCGACTATACCAAAGGGAGTTCGTCGGGACAGGGGAAAGGTAAAGGAATGGCAGATGAAATAATTAGAGGTTTTAGATGCCAACATTGTGAACGGATCAACATCAATCCATCTCTTGAGGAATTCCGCATAGAATCTTTGACGGTTCAATTTCGGGATAAGACAAAGGAAGAAGTTGTAACTACAGAGGAAAGTTCAAGATCTGTTAAATCTCGTCTGGGACCACGAATCCCTTGTCGAATGACAGAGATTAATCAGATGAGAGATGAACCGATGTGGGCGA